AAAAAAAACTTCAATTTTTCTGCGTCACTTGACGTCACTTGAGAAAGTAGTTTAAAGCTTTGTGATTTTCCTCAAATGCAAAAGAATTAAAAAAAAAAAAAAAAAAAAAAAAAAAAATAGGAGACATTATCACCGCAGGTATTGATATTTGCCAGAAAAATTATCACGATTGTACTCCTACCCACGTGTTATCGGCGTGGCCAAACAGACTATCAACACGGTGTTTGTTTAAATTATAGGTAAGCCTTTACCTTTGCAGATGATTGTTCGTATTAGCGGGATCTACGCGTTGCTACCAGTGATCGATGATGAATGCAATGACTGACTGACTAGTCGGAACTACTTCTCCTTCTGTGCTCCTGAATTTATTCCGAAATATTCTCTCTTTTTCTTTTTCTCTTTCCTTCTCTCTTCCTCTCTTTCTTTTCCCTCCTCTAACAACATTTGTTCTACATTAAATTTTTCCAAGGCAGCCAAATTCTAGGAGATACGATATATCGAATATATATATATATGTATATATATCTCTACATATCTATCGACTAATCTTATCGCATATCTTAATATGTATTTTCCTCCATTTTATACGTACATTCGTATTCATATCGGAGATAAGAAAAACGATATAATTGTACTCTATTAGCGGTGAAAGCATCACGTCTTATTCAAGTCCAAAAGTCTCAGTTGGAAAATATATACGATAATCTTCTCCAAATGATATCGACTCATCGCCCATTTCAGTATAAAGCAATTTTGTATTTTACGAAAGATTCAGTAACTGCATTGGATAGTATGAATATCACAGTAGGTAGTGAAATTAAATTCCTCTCGTCGCTACATGATAAACATAGAATACATGTATTAATAAAATATATAATATAACTTGGTCATCTTTTTCTTTCTTCTTATTTTAACTGTATTTTCAAAAATTCCATGCTCCGAATTGGCTGAAGTTTTAGAAATAGGTTCCTTCTCGATAAAGAATTTTTTGAAATTTAAGAATTAAGACACTTTAAGACTCTTTATTAAAACATTTTTCTTTTTACTTTTTCCATGTCAATAAAGTAGATATACCTTCTCGATGCTACGTGATAACAGCCACTTGGCGGGAAATATTTTATTCGTATTTGAAGATACGAAGTAGAAGGTTCAATTGGTTGTGCTATATATTAGTTTAAATAATTTAGGGCATAAGTATATTAATATTTTTTCGTAGAAAAAAAAGGAAGACTTTAGTTGCGATCGTCAGAATTTAATAGAATTTAATTAAATAATCACAAATAAAGAAAAAATATATACAATCTCGATAGTTTCTCGAGATCTTCTAGTATGGTACCGAATACAAGCATTAATATAAATCAACATTGATACTAACTTAATGTTATAATATACATTAAAGATATCATAAAATATTATATATAATGAAATACTACGTTAATGTA